CTTCGACTCGTCGCTGCTGCACCGCGCGGTCTCTATCGTTCGCTGCTGCTGCACACACAAGTTGTATACACAAGAAGTATATATAGTAGATACATAATATCGAGTGTATGTGCAAGCCACCAATACACATCCATTCGGGGATCACGCTCGTCTCGACGTGCTGCTCTCCTCCTCTTGCTTCTTCTCTTTCTTCTTCTTCGACGAGTGTTTTTTCTGTGTAAGTGTGCGCGAGTGTGTGACTCGCGCCGTAGTGCAACTTGCAGCTGTCAAATAACAATTGCCGCGCGCGAGCGTGAGAATATACACGAGTACGTACGCACGCATAAATATACTCACGGTCGTGTGTGTACCGAGCGTGATTGCGTCCATCCGTCGTTCTGTTTAGCGCCTAAACATCTATATATACATTACGCGACAGGCGATTACACATACATACATGCACCGGTAAGTCAATGTTGCAAATGTTTCGCTGAAACACGCAATACTTTCTCAGTGATTATTTAGCGCGTCGTACGTATGTGCTGCTCCTTGCATTCGTGCATCTAGCCGCGTAAAACTCGCGCGGACGCGAGCTCGTGTTTTAGTTTCGAACGACCTATCGTGTGTTTACCGAAACGTAACGCCGGCACAAGTTAAACACACAGCCTTTGCTTTGTATTTTATTTTCCACCGCGAGTTCGAGTTTTAAAGATACTTTTCTCGCGGGATATTTACGAGGGACGTAAGCCGCGCGCGCTCGGCGCCGCACACGGGGATCGGGCACATATAATACATCCCGCAGCTATATACACGCGGAGCGTATACACGAGAGGTATATATATGCATTTAAACTCATTGAAACGGAATGATTCGATTTTCTGCTTGGCTTTGTCTCTTTATTAGTTTCGTTTTCGATTGATTCATAACTCGCTGCTCTCGCTCCTTTCTAGCGATCGCGCTCCCTGATTCTCCCTCCCGAATCCTTTCCGAAATTAATTACTACTCGGAATCTAGATAGAGAACTGTCCATATCTCTCTCTCTTTCTTTCACTCCGTGTTTATAACTAAACCAAAAGCTCTGTGTCTGTTTGTGTGTGTGTGTGTGTGTGTGTCGGTTTATCGACGCAACTTTAATGGTGTACACCATATATAGCGCTGCATTTTGGTTTCGAAAGAGCTGCGAACACGGCAATATACGTGCTTGCATATTGAGAGCGATTCTGATTGTACCGAGTGAAATTCAATGCAATTTCCACAACAAACGTTTAGATTGGGAAACGGTTGTTGCTTGGTGGAGGGCTCTGCAACGCGTTGCACGTAGCGATGCAGTTATGATTATATGCGCGATATTTCAATGAAACTTAATTATTTTATCGTTATTCTCAAGGCTATTGTTTTCCTCATCAAAGTTTTTTTCTCTCTCTCTCTCTCTCTCTCTCTTCGAGCAATCGATCTCGCGAATAAATGTTCGCGACTGCACACGGAACGGCACTGCAGGCTCTTTTAATTCATATATAGAAAGATTATTGTTTTTCAATATAGAAACATTTCGTCCTTGAGTGTTGATTGATTCGTCGTTCGTATATCGCTGCATTTAACTGCAGATCGTGCTCGCGCGCGCGTTATTATTCGCTTTCGCCGACGCTGCTATCTTTGCTTGGCGGCGTGCATTAACGACGATCAATTCATGGCCCGATATATCGATACCGTTCGCAGTGCGTGATGCATAGAACAATTCGATTAATTAACGATAATGAAGAGCTCGCGCGTAAGCACATGCATCGCCCACGCGGACGCTCATCGATTGATATATATTATCGTTGTCGCCGAGTCGGGGCGCGCGCCAAACGAAACGAGCTCGGTATATATAAAATGCGTGCGAGTAGTATACGTGTACACGTGCTCGTCGCGCGGGAAATACGAGAGAGAGGGGAGCCAGAGGAGGAAGAGCTGTATTTTCTATTCCCTGGCTAATTTCATTGCCACGTAATGCGGCTGCATCGCGACGAGGAGCGGCCGCGCGCGAGCTTTCACGTATAATGCATCCGATGTGCATACGTGCACGCATATGTGTATCGTCGTGTACGTGCTCGCGTGGTCCTTGTTTCCTTGATGCAGAGAGAGAGAGAGAGAGAGAATTGGTCGCCAACGCGTTCGGTTCACCTTGCGAGGAACCTTAACCAGCAGCCCCTCTCCTGCTGCGCGCGGCAAAACTGCTCGTGTGCGTGCAGCAGCAGCTCTACGACCTCGAGAAACTATCGTGCGGGCTGTAAAGCGCCGTCGCCGCGGCTCTCTGTCCTTACATTATACATGTAGTGGCTGCTTTTTGCGAAAACGCGAATCTCGGGGCAAACGCAAGTGCTAGTCCGGGACCGTGTGCAAGTTCAGACGCTGGCTGGCTGGCTGCAAGCTCGCGCGCAAGCTTCGAGGCTGTCGAACAGCTCCGCGTCCGTGTGCCACAGTGTCGGATTGGGACTCGTCTGTGCAGCTCTCGTACACGTACTCGCGCGGCCAGGAGCTTTTTTCCTCGGTCGGCGCTCGGAGCTTGCGCGCCAAGGCGCATGCACCGGAGAGCGGCGGCGGCGGCGGCGTCGTCGTACACTGCACTCGCACACTGCTGCAACCTGTCGTGTACGTAGCTGCTGCTGGTCTCTACGCGCCAGGGGGAGGGGAAGGCAAAGCAGACACACGTCGCACGTGGTGAATGTATATACGCGTGCGTGTGTTTCGCGCAGCTACCACCAGTGCGCGTCGCACTATTGATTTCTCACGCGCCTGTGCACATAACCAGAGAAGTAGCGAGCGAGAGAGAGAAAGATAGAGACGGCTAGATCTGCTCAACAGCGCTGGCGGCGTGGAGCGTATATATTATTATTATATAGATGTATATACAGTCGCTGCCTGCCTGTTAGAGGTACCTATTTTTCGAACCCTCTAACGCTCACGCGTTCGAGCAACGAAAATAACCTGCACGTTTGCTACTACTGCCTATGTAGCACCTACATAGATATCTTTGCTAATTGGGCTCGAATTGCGCGCCACCGCTGCCGCAGCAGCAGCAGCCACCGCCTCGATTTCTTCGCAAAGAGAGCACGTAACGAGCGTATAAATTTTTCTCTCTCTCTCTCTCTCTTCTATTAATCCTTTTTCCTTCTTCCCTCCGTCTCCTTTTTTTCTCGCCGTCTGTCTGTCAGTCTTATGAGCCTGCACTTTAAGGCGATAATTATTTTTCGATACACACGCGCAGAATACTGTATGAAGTACATTTCGCAACGATCACTTTTTTTTAGCGACGGGCATAAAACGTTTTTTTTTTTTTTTAAAGCTCGGCCACGGCGATGCCGAGTGCGCTGCTTGTCTCGTTATCGAGGCCAGTAAATGCACTTTTATTACGGCTTTTGATTTTCCCGCCTTTGTCGGACAAGAGCTGCCTCGTTCTGCTTCCGCTGTAGCCTAGTAGTACATTTTCTAACGGCGTTTATTAAGCGGCCGCACACGCGCCGATCAGCTTATATCGTGATCGTAACGACGATCGTGGGAGGATTTACAATGGCTTTTTTATTTTGCTTTATTGCGTCGTCGAGCGTGCGCAACGTTTCCTCCTTTCGGATTAATCATCCACCCTCGAGAGCTAAATGCTCGAGCGATTATGCGTGGGTGGATTATAATTTTAAATCGTCTACGTCAAGGGAAAATAGAAGTCCCCGCGTACGTCTATGGTACTTACGTCGCTCGTCGCTATTTACGATGGATCTATAGAAATATCCGTTCCCCTTCGATCACCCGCATAAATTGCAATGCGTCCATACGAACCAACAATTTTCAATTAAAATAGCTAATTGATTAATCAATTTGCACGGAAATAGACACACTGCTGATACAGATGAGCAAAAAGGCTCGTACCTCATGGAATTAATATTTCCTGCTTTAATAGCACCGCCGGCTGCTGATTATTGATTTTTACAAAACGAAATTTATTTTACTTTTTTCATAATAATACTGATTTAATAAAGGCTTTCGACCAAGTTTGTGGAAAGTCGGTAAAATATGTTTAATTTTTCATAAAGAGTTACGACAAAAATTTTTATGAATCATTTAGTGCGGATAATAATTCAACGAAAACAGCCAAACTGAGCGAGCAGCATAAAATTTATTTGTATAACGTTCTTTAATTTCAATAATTTTTTGTCATTACAAAATCGCACCAACTGCTACGTTATAAGATTTTACTTTATAATGGAGTTTCGTGGCATTGTTGAATCTGAAATATTAAAATAACCTTAAAACCATTAAAATTTTTGCGACTAAGCGCCCTGCATAAAATATTACATTGGGATTTATGAAGTTGGGATATTTCGAAAGCGAAAAGTAATTTTTTACGAAAGCTCAAGCAATCTAAAAATAAGCATTAATAAGTAAAGTTAAGTACTCACTGACACTTTGTAACAAAGCTCGCACAGACTAGGGTTTAATTTAATACTATTACATAACGGTTTTACGTAAGGTTATTTTAACGTGATAGTGGAATGTGGATTTAATGAATTCATCATACGCCATATATAGAATATTGTTCATTGGATTATTTCGCTTCGATCGCTCGAAGATCAAATAAAAAAAATACAAGGCTTTTTCGAATTAGCTTCAGTATTACATGATTTACTGCGCGCTCGATCTGGTATCAAAAATGAAAGTATAAGAGAACTTATAAATAATTCAACCTTGCTCATTGAAAGTAAACTTGGCGTAAAGGGTATAAGTGAGCTTTGCTGTCCATATATACACGTATATAAATGTATACAAATACTCCAAAAGCCAGCGGGCGTGCAAAACATTTCACTTATCGTTCCGTCGGCAAGGGATTACTGAACCCTCCCTTTTTTTAAATCCACGAAAAAGGAACCTGCTCTTTTTAGGGATACTAAATAAAGTGTTGACGCATTCCAATGCTATTCATATGAAAATGATACGTAAAGTAACACCGATATTAAACTAAACTACTTTTTTCTTATCTCTGATTGCAGGTGTTCGAAGTGACAATATTCGACTGATTTGCAGGTGAAACTTCATCGAGGCGAATCATACCGAGAAGGGGGAGTCATAATTAATCAGCCGCGCGATCTGCGAGTAGGAGCGATCGCCATTATTCAACCGACAGAAGCGTAGCCGAGATGCCTGCGCCGACGTCAGCTACAGGGGCGGCCGAGCCGGGCCCGCCCCGTACCGAACTCCAGGAGTTACAATTCAAGGCCGATCAGACGACCGATGAGGTAAGCCATTGATTTTCGAAACCTTTCGAGCTTCGCGCGACTCGCGACGATTTAATGAACGGATTGATGCATGCCTAATTATAACGGAGGCGCGCGCACGCCCGACTAATGCATCATAATTACCAGCGGCAGCGGATGGAAGGAGGGTGCGAAATTTTTTAATCGAACGCTCTTGCGACTGGTAATTTATGTTAATGAGCCCGAGGACTGATCGTCTTTAAGTGATGAATCGATGAAACTCATTTCTATCGGCGTGTTCGGAATCGCAATGAGATGCTTGAAAATTTAATGATTCAAAATCAGGACAATGGCCGTTGTATAACTTCCATGTTACACGAATACGAAAACGATAATGTTACTAGCCAAAACTTGAAGAAATTGGACGTGTTTTTTTTTCCTCTTTCTCTTCGACTATGCGAAATTTTTTTTTTTCAAAAGTGCAATAAACTGAAAAGTCGACCTTTCCACTTGTTACAGTCGCTGGAGAGTACGAGGCGTATGCTGGCGCTATGCGAGGAGGTAAGCCAATCCACTTCTATATTGATATATTTTATATTGACCGTATGAAAAGAAGTTTATTAATAACCTAATAATATAGTCTACACGATAAGAAGCGTGTGTGTAACGTATATTTGTATACATAATATCGAGAGAGTGAGAACAAAAAAGAATCTTTAAGATACACTCGAGGAAAGTGACTTTGTACGAGGCGCCTGTAAATTCCTTATTTTCTCGTGTTTACCAAACGCCGTTAAATGCCTCTGCCTTTGACGAGAGAAAGAGAGCAGAAAAAAAAGAATAAATAAGAAGACATAAAAAATTCGATTCAATCCGCGTTGAAAGGATCGACCGAAGTCTCAATTTCCGCAAGTGGCTCTATATATAGACCCTCTCTTCTCTGTATATATGTATACAAACACGCACATTCACAGACACACACACGCTTCCATGTAAATCGGCTCTCACTTCTGTGATGGCGACAACGATGACGATCGCGTGTGTGGCTCAACGTTGTGTTTTTGTGCTGTATTTGTGTGTACGTGTGCGAGTTGTACGTATAAAAAAAAGAGCCACGCGAGCGTAGATCGAACATCGTGCCACCTATAAAGCGCAGTCGTAATCGTCGAAGAAGAGCTGATATTCTTTTTTTTTTTTATAAATATCGATTTTATCGTACAGGAGAAGTTTGAAAAAATATTGTGTATTTAAGAAATCTGACGCACTGGTATGTCGAAGCTGGAGCGAGTTTCTGTACATTTGTTGCGATCAGAACGAAGCGGTGAAATTGCAAAATGCCATGTCCGTATCGATTATCGCGCGGGATTATCGGCAGCGAATGAGATGCCAAACAATGCCGAGTATATAATGAGCAGCTGTTTGAAGAATACTTTTGATTCACTGACGTCACACGCAGGCAAAGTTTTCCGTACTGCACTCGCGCTCTCGGGACAAACGGAAACTCGAGAGAATTTTCGATATATATGTTTGCATTTCGGTCGCACTGGAGAGCGAGATTTGATCGGCTTCGGCAAATTTCATCTCCGCGACTCTCTCTCTGTATTCATCAAATGCACTTTTGTGCTCGAGCTTTACGAAGCGCAGCTTCGAACGAGTATTTCTTGCATTGCTTAACGCTTAGCTGCATCTAATGACGTTAGTACAAAACATTGATCTCGAATCGGAAATAAAGCTGCAATCGATTTTAGAGTCTCTTATTGCGAGAGAGAGCGGGCGTGAAAAAAAAGACAAATAGAACTTATGCAGCTCTCGAGACTGATATTCGCGAGGTCAAGCGTCGAGCTAGTAGTGCGAGTCAATCTTTGGTCCGGCGCGTCTCTCGCGCTTTTATACATAGATATATACCGCAGCCCGAGCGGAACCTTCAAAATTCATGATCATGATATATTTCCGATTCGCCGGGTCTCGTGCAATTTGCAATTTCACCTCGAAAATTTCAAGATCACCCTTGCTGGATAGCTACTGTGTGTGTGTGTGTGTGTGTGTGTACGTGAGGGTGTGCGATATACATATATAAAGTTGATGCCAGTGTGGGTTAACCGCATCGTACTTAGCTCTCTCTTTCTTCCTCGCCTGTATCTATAATATGAGCTGGATGCGCGACGAGAAAAAAGGCCGCGAGCGACGCATCCACGCGCGCACGTCTCAGGAGACGAGTGCTAAGAAGGAAGGAAGTAAAAAAAAAAAAGGCATCTAAAATAAAGGAAGATCCTAGCGTCGTCGCGCGCGCGTCGAAGGTTTCCTCAGCCTTATAATACGTTGCTGCTGCTGCTTCTACCTCGACAAAGCTTTCAAGGTCGGGTCCATTGAGCGAGCCATTGTATGAGTATGTGCGAGGGTGTGTGTTGGTGTGTGCCAATGTGCGCTGCTGGCTCACTGCAAGCTTTATCTCGCTATATTCCGCTCTAACTGCTGTATTCTAGCGTCGTCGAGTCAAGCTCTAGCCAAGCAAGCAAGAGGGGCTGGGATTATCGATTGTCAAGGGCGCGCGTGCCAATGCATCGTTCGCGCACGCACGCGCTTACTGCTGACACACTAAATTCTCTCTCTCTCTCTCTCCCTTCTCCTGCTGCTGTACCTCTTGTCTGTTTGCTGTTGCTGTCGAAGCTTCCCGCGTGGGAGTGCGTGTGGACTTTTTTATTTTCTTCGGCGAATGAAAAAAAAAGTACGTCATTTTTGCTCGCGATGCTTCTCTGCAATTTTTTTTCCGTTCCTCGATGATGCGTGAGGGAGCAGTAAGCCGGTTAGAAGATTTCGCGTGCTCTCTCGTCGCAGCAAATACTGATTGTTCCTGCGCTCGACTTTTTCTTTGTGTATTTTCTGTATACACATGTATATACCGTATACGTACTGCACACACGTGCACACGCTGACTCACGTATTCTTGCAGTCTTTTGTTCGATGCGGCTGCTTTTAATGAGCTCGACATTTCAACTCTGCTACCGCTCTATTCGTCGATGCATTATGGGCTCCGACAGTTGCTGCAGATTGAATCGCCCTCGACTCTTTTTTGATTGTAACAAATTCGTCGCAGAAATTTCGTCCGCGTGTCTCTCGCTGTTTCTTCCCTTTTATGAATCTCTCTAGTTTTTCGCTCGTGTATGCTTCAAATTCGTGGATTTAATTTTTTTTCTTTTTTCGACTCTGTGTCCGCTCAATGTATTTTTTTTTGTATTGCAAATAACGATACAAATTTTCGGCACAATAAAAGTTGATTTATTTTTGTGAGCAACTTGATTTGAATCGTACAACTTTTTTGCTCTCTTATGCCTGGAGTTTTTTTGCTCAAAAAGTTGCATCCGTAGCAAAGCGCCCGGCTGCTCTTCTCTCTCTCTCTCTCTCTTAAAGTGGAAATGACTAAAATATGGCAAGAACCGCGAACTCACTCGCGGCTATATATACGTATTGCATTTCTATTCCGTTCTCGGTGGTCTATATCTTCCTTCGACTATTGCTTGCGTTGCACTACCTATATTTTTATCTGCGGCTCAGTTCAAAAACGAACTTCGGCCCACAGACTGCAATAGCAGCGGAAAAAAGTTCCTCTGTCGCGTATTTAAGCAAAAAATTCTGCTTTTCGCTCTCAATATTCGTGAAAGAAAGAAAGAGAGAGAGAGAGAAGAAAACTCATTGTACGTGTATACGATCGATTTCCCAATGAAATTTTCCAGTTAGGTAATTTTCCATTAAAGCACAGCACAGCACGTTCGGTATAATGAAGATGTGTATATTGATAAAAAGGAATATAACAGAAGACTGAGAATAGGAAAGAGAGAGCTAAGGATCGAGTATGAATGTACGATGCGTACGCTGTGTTGGTGTGACACTCAGAACGTTAAAAATGAAATTTCGATTTCAAGAATCTTGAGTGCGTCATTTCATCACATTTTACGACAGACTTATGCACTTTTGGCTGTTTCGGTGATGCAAATACATCCATGAAAATAAAATAGATGTTTGGATGAATATACATATTTTATAACTGTAGTGTGCGCATTGAAGCTAGGGATCGATATTTTCAAAGTATCACTTTGAATATTATAAAAAAGACAATCAATAAGTCGAAAGGAGCAGTTAGCTTTGCAACGGCAGCAAACAAATCGTCGCAAACACGACGAGGCTGACGCGCGCATAGCCGAACATATTCCCAGCTCAAACATTTAATCGTACTTGGGAGCCGGTCAATTCCATTTCCAAAGGGATCCCGCCAATAAGTACCAATCGAGCGCATTAAATATTTGCACTACGATTTGTCCTGGCCCTTCTTGGTCTCAATCTCTTGTCGTATATACCATTATCATCATTTCCTATCTGTCGGAATATGTTTACTTATAAATGTGTATATGCGTGTGTTCGTTGTCAATTCTCTCTTTCCCTTAAATGTTGTAAATATCTTTGTATGTGGTGTCGTGTTGTGTAGTAAACTTAATTGAATATCTTCTCTCTCTCTCTCTCTCTCTCTCTCTCTCTCTTTCTTCTTTCATAATCGAAAAAGTCATTGCTCATGTTCCCAGAGTATTGCACGCGTTGTGGATTTTAACAAACAGTGTGTACATTTGACACCCTGCACATAATCTGCGGTCGACACCTGATGGATCTACGCGGTGTGATCTATAACTTTAAATATATATGTAATGCATATTATGTATACTGGCCAAACCTTTTATATTACGTGCTCCACAACATCCTTTTTACTTGACATTCTTATTTATTTGTTTCGTACACACTGAGCTCGATGTATAGTTTGATCGACGATTCTAATTTGCTTTTCGTTTTCTTTTTTTAATCTTTTTGTTCGCTCGCGATAGCCAACGTCTCTTGTAAATGATTTCGATTCTTTTTAATTACTTCAGAGTAACTAAAATAAAACTCTTCAACTTGCAACGTCCATTGGATACGCTTATAAATTTATTATTCTATTTAAGCTACTACTACTTCTGCAAACTACACGTTTATGTGTTGGCTCGTATTGATTGTTATTGATAGACGTTCTGTGTATACACCTACACATGTATAACTGAAATGTCTACTCTCTCTTAGAATGAAATATCTGTCCTATGTTACTGATTTACAGGCCAATCGGATAGTCTACCATATCGATTGAAGTACCTTCTATATATTTGCACTTTTACTCGACCGTTACTAATTTCCACTGCATTGATTAATGATTGCGTAGCATTATTAATGAATTATAATACGTCGATGTTTCGCATAAGTTTCACATTTACAACCGACTTTGTCCGGAAAATATTTCAAAACTCTATTCCTACTTTTGTTTCGGTAATTTCATCTAGAACACTAATTACAGAAAGCTCTCGAGTGCTTTATTCTTTCTCTTTCGCCCTCTCTCTCACTCTTTCATTGTATCTCTGGTATACGTTTTTTGCTGGACCGACCTACGCCTTGTATATGTTCGTATTTTATCTTACACTCGCACACACGATGAATGCATTTGACTCTCTATAGTAGAAGCGACAAAGTGCTTTATATAAAAAAAGAGCCGAGGGTAAAAGCCTCCGCCTAGGAAATGTCAATCAACTGCACCACACACGTTAGTAAAATAAGTAAAAAATAATTTAGGTTGCGGAGATTTGATTCTTAGGCTATCAATTATCAATATAAAAAAATGTAGAAAATGTAATAAATAAAAATTTATAGACAAACATCTCGATATCGCGGGAATGATCGTATAGATGGAAATAATCTAAATACAATGGATCAAAAAGAATGTAAGAAGTAGGACAAATTGGAAACGCTGTCCGGGTTATCCGCCCCTTTTTCCGGCTAAAGCAGAGGTATCGATAGTTTATTTCAAAGATAACAAAAGGAATTCCGGAACTATGTGGAGGGCGGATAAGCTTCAGAGCTTACTGATTCTGGGACATAAGTTGACTTTACGAGCGCAAATGAAAGAAAAGATAAAGATCGAAATAGGAAGGATAAAAAGAGAGAGGAGAGTCGAATATAGTTTTTACAGAAATTTCAGAACGATATTGCTTGAAATGTCAATGTTACCGCTTGGAATATCACGATAATAATGTAGGTACGGCGACAACTAAATGAAATATTATTTGGAAAATAATGTTTTTTTTCATTATCATTATTTCGTGATATTTACTGTTGCCTTTTCACGTTTACGATATGTGGAATCATTGCAAAATCAACGCAATCAATCAATTTTCTATTTATTATTACACGTGTTTAACGTTGCGTGAAATTTGAAAATACACATTTACACATAGAAAGTGACTAATTGTTGACGCCGTATTTGTATCATTTCTGTTTGACAAATTCCATTTACCAATGCCCTGTGTCTTAGTCCTATGTTGAAAATGCCAAGGTGAATAGAAACAAACAAACAACTCGATCATAGTAGTAAAATAATTTCTGCACGAATGGAGTTAACCGCATGGCACGCGCTAAGATACATTTTTCAATAGACGGGTGAAATTTAAAATGATGCCTATTTACAATGTACATCAATTTTTCCAAGTAAAAATTTAATTTGCGTAAAGTTGAATACGTATTTGAAGAACTTCTATCTCTGATCAAACAACCTTGACAGGTTATCATCATCTGAGTAACGGTCTTATTCCATGTTTATAGCTAATATAATTATCGACGATTTTGTTTCATCCCATTTGGTTCTCAAGTTTATATACGAATACGATGAATGCGATGAATATATGAAATACGATTTTTATTCTTTTAAGCTTATACCGAAAGAGACTACATACCAATGATGCATCACATTTATATGAGCTTCTATTCTTTCTTATGAGAAATTCTCATCTTATTTTCTGACCTGATAACTCTTCATATACTCTTGTATATTAAATCAGTTCATCTAAAAATAGTTTCTGCCTCTCCTTTTACAAATAAAGCGATCTCACAAGTCATCACTACCTATTACGAATATATATGTTGAGAGTAAAACTAAATTATATCTGGAGCATGTTGATTGTATGTTTCTAACTATATTTTCACTAAATATCTACATTCTATTGCTTATGCTAACGGAATATCTGTACTGCTGTGTACAAAATGTGCAACAAAACTTTCCACAATATACATAAATAAGTGTACATAATGATATGCTCTGTATTATAGAATATACGTATGTATATTGACCACAAGGCCCGTCTAATCGATATAATACTATATAGCATTAGAATGCAGAATTGATGCTGAGCCTATACTTTGCAAACAAATTTGCAACTTATGTCGCTACATCTATACTTTTTAAATATAATTTGTCTACTCTACTTCAAATTTAAACATTCATAGAATTTTGAACGTATGATAATTGTGTTCAAAGTCCAATAATTTTCACTATTGCGTATTTCACTTTTTAACCAATATACAGTCTTGAATGTAAAAATATTTTACATTTTGTACTACATCTTTTATTTCCTTTTTTTATCTATTTCTGTAATGCTGACGTTGCTGTTGCTGTCATAATATGTTAGTGGCTGACCTGTCGCGTTATCTGTGTGTTACATTTAATATAAATATAATTACATGATAAATTTTGCCCTAAAAAAAACTTACATTAAATTTTGACATTTAAAGTTATTATAAGATCATTTTGAAAATTTTTAGACATGACTGACGAAATAGGAAACAGTAATAGCTGAATGGAAAATTTTTTTTAAGTGGTTAAGGGTCATCTAAATTGTTTGAATTGTATCGGCACTATTGTTTACTTATTTTATTAATAAACTACTTAATTTTTAGCCATAAAAATTTGAGAAGGTTTGTAAAACAAATACAAATGTGCCTATCTCATAAGTTTTTAATGAATTGTTTTTTATCATATCATGAACTTTTTCAAATTAATATTATGACTAACAATTACTCAATTTATTAAGTTGATACGAACTAATTCAATGATCACGAGCAAAACAAAACCCTTAGTATAGGGGCTTATATTGGAGACTTAAAATCAAATTAAAAATAATTTTATAAAATTTTAGAAAAGAATTCTGGTTTCTCTTTCCATTGCATTTTTTATTTTTTTGAATTCTAAAATTTTTATTTATTTTTGAGATACAGTCATTAGTCCTTTTTTTAGAAATATACGTTGGGGGAATTTTTTCTTCTTTAGTGATTATGATGATTAGTTTTTTTCAAAAATCGACCGGGATACCAATTTTGAAATTTTTAAAAAATACAATGAAGCGTGTAATGAAAATAAAAAAAAAAATTTTTGATTTTAAGTTCCCCATCAAGCCTTAAAATAGCGTAAAGATGATCCTTAATGTGACAATTTTTTTCACAATGGGCAGGGATGTCAGAAACCCGAATATTATGATGATGAAATGAGTTCAGAGCTAAGAAAAGATGTTGCAGAAAAATTTATTTTTACAATAAAAAAAGTCTGCAAAAAACTGAATAATTTGCTGTAGTTTTATTCTTTTTTTTAATTAAATAAAAAAACTTAACATTTTTTTTATTATTACTTTTTCTTCGATTATATACTTTATAATTACAAACTTTACTGAAGACGAAGTATGGATTTTCGTGCATGAATTAGAACCGTCTTTTATACTTTTGTGAATTTATGATCAGATTTTAAGTTTAGATCTCTTTGATACGTTTGTAATTCTCATGAATTTTAGATCTATCAACAACCTCTATGGTATTAACCTGCTTTTAATTTTTTCTTGCAGTCTCTTATTTCCTAGCATAATATTAATGAGCACTTTGATACATTTTTTTATCCAAATCAGAGCTTTTCGAGGTTAAACATATACCACAACATGACCAACGTTATAGATGTAGATTTCTCGTTTATCACAAATTAAGGGCACATTTCATTACACCTCTCTTAAATAAACCTTTTAAAATTACCTTTCCTTTTTGCAATATTCTGAAATGATGGTCATTATTTTAAGTAGTAAAAAGCTCGAATTAAACGACTCGACCAAAACCACAGCAAAAACATTTTAGCTTAAAGTTCAATCAATTTCTTTGCTTCAATCATTCTTATGTTATAAAATTTAATGTTATCTATCTATCGTCATGTAAGCCATTTTTGCACTTCAAAGCCTCACTTTACATCATTAAATATATTTTATACGAGCTCACAAACGCTACATGTCCTATTCTGCGCCTTTGATACGATTCTTACAATTGACATAGAAGTTTGTTGACTGCTTTTCTTTCTATTTGTTCTATATATTAGCAAACTGAATTCATTTCTAATCGAATGTTATGAAATTAACGTAAAATAAAAGCGTGATAAATCTTTATAATGAAGGATTACTAGCAAACAGTCACAGGGTAAATAGTTTGACTCATTTCACCGATGCAAATATTATCATGCATTCTTTCTGACATGATCGCTCAAGTAATTCAAGGCGAGAAAGTAATTGTTTGAAAGACATATAATTGTTAATGACGTTTAAAAGGGCTCATTTGTATGGTAACAATGGGTTATAATTTAAAAATCGTAACCACAAAGACAGTTAACAAACACAGTACAATAACAAGTACAAGTACAAGTGACAGTAACAACTATCCATCATAATAACAGCAACGTACAGATTAAAAATGTGATGAATCCTAAAAGCCATAACTAACAATTCATGACATATGTCGATGAAATCGCACCTACATAAAAAACCATGAGTGAAAATGAATGAGTAGATGGGAAAAATAGGTGGAACAAACATAAATTAATAAAGTTCAACATTCCATTTAATCCGTCTGTTTTACTTCACTTTTTTATGACTTAAATATGCAACATTATTATACTATATCAATAACCCATTATATACTAATATTATACTTATATATAAATACATATTATACTCTTTAACACTGGTGGTGGTTATTTTTTGTGTGTGTTTCGCTGCTGCCTCTAAATCTATAGAGCAAGGAGGCCGGCATCCGTACTCTGGTCGCGCTCGATGACCAGGGAGGTGAGTTTCAAATCGCTCAATCAAATTTCAGTTTCAATAAATCTTTTTGAACGTTTTCAAGTATAAGCTAAGCTTTGTGATACTTATCGAAAAATAGTTGTTGTCCAAATAATTTATTATGTAAATTTTCTCACGTAACTATTTCCTAAATTTTATTAAGTTTATCACTTATTTTATGCATATTTTTGGTTTTTATGTTCCTATGATGCACCTCTTTATTTTTATTGTGTAGTTGATTATTCATCATGGTTTATTAATAATAGTACCGATATTCCTGTAAATAATTATTTGTTCAAATACGCGAATCACGAAAATCCGTTGAAATGTTCTTGATGATAAAACTATAGAAACCAAGATTTTATTTTTACTGAAATGATTATTTCTATCAATCATTTGTTTGCGTACGGTGACTGAAGCATGCTCATCATATTTCTACAAATCGGTTGGTTACTAAGGTGTTGGTTGGCATAAAATATTCATTTGATGGATAATTAAAAGCGATACCACAAAAAGCGTACATAGAAACTAACTCAGAACTTGTATGCAATTTGATAAACGACTACAAAATGTGGTATATAGTAATTCAGACAAGGTGATTTTTTAAACAAAATACTTCATACACTCAGCAAAAGGTCGGGTCGTTTTGTTGAGCAATTGACAGTGATCGATTAAAATAACTATAAAGAAGATTATGCTTGTCGACGCATAATATATCAGTGTTATAGAATTAATAAAATGCACAGAAAAAAGTGGACAGAGCAGCAAAAAATGGGTCTCATAAAAACCCTAAGCAGGCAACAGTAACTTATTTTTATCTATTTCTATCCACCTATTGTCTATCTGCGATTGTTTGTAGAATACAAATTTTTTTTCTTTTATTTTTACCTAAAAATTTCATTGTAAATATGGCTATAAACATTTCTACTCAAACTGCATAGTTCAGAAAGGAAAAATAAGAATTAAAACGATTTTCTAACTCTCGTCAAAATTCTAATAAAAACTACCCTAAATATGTAATAATAAATTATTGAAAAATTGAAACTATATGTATAGCACTCTGCTTTGCGCTTTTGCGAGAAAAACAACTAAAAGTACGACGTTCGTTCACAGTTTTTAGATTGAAATACACAAAATATGTTTTGTCTCAAAACGCAACCACCAGTTTTGTTACAATCCACAAAAAGTTTATTATATATACATCAAGACAGAAATTTAGCCAAACAGGATGTCAAAATGTTTTTAACATGATTGTTTATTAAACTGCTTTTATTTAATTGTTTAATACATAAATTCAAAGTAGTTTACCAATTTTTTCATCGAGGATAAGTATTTATTTCTACATGATTTGGTTGAAATTTTTGCAAAACAAACACTAAACAAAGTTTTTTTATTTTCACAGAAAAAATTACTTTAAATTTGTACATATTCAAGTAGTTACACTCAAGCCTTTAGCTATGTTGCTTTCAGTTACGTATATAATTTGTATAATATTTAGAGCAAAGCAAACTCTGAGGTGATTGTTGCGTATATTTGTTTTAGCAGTAGCTGTTTGGTCGTTTAGTAATTCAATTCACAATCAACATTAATTAAACAATTGTTGTTTATTTAAACGAACTTAAAATTTTTTATTTTATTTTATAAAAATAATTCATTTTTTCATACAAACGTTGCTCCATTGTTCATGCTACCATTACTCCATCAGTTTAGTCAATTTTTACTTTTTTGGTATTATTTTCTCTAATTATGCAGTTGATGAAGTAGTTCGAAGAAAAAAAAATTTTAATTTAGAACGAATATACTTGAAACTTTTTATAGAAATTTCAAATAGGTAAAGCATTTCTTTATATAATTGATATTCTAAACTCGGCTTTTTTTAAAACGAGTTTTTAATAGATATCAGGAAATAGGTTAAAAAATGCTCATCTTTACTCGTATTTCCGTATCGTTTGATAATATAAATACCTTTGGTTATTTTTTAAAAAATTTAACTATAAAGTAAAAAAGGTTCTAAATAGTGAAGGCAAGCTAAAAACGATCTTAACTCCTCCGTATAGTAAAAGGGATGTAAAATAATGCAATTACATCCTCGAATTCCGGGGATAATCGAATGCCTTAAATTAAGCTACGAAGCATACCCGATTTTACAGTATAGCTCAAATCGACAAGAACGCTGAGTAATCTCGTTAACATTTGCTCGTAAATACGTCAGTAATTTAAATCTATATCTGAATACTCTCACTCAAATACGCACACTGATAATTTGAAATTATTTTTTTTTTTAATTATCTAGTTCCCTTTGATAGTCATTTAAGAAAAACTTATTTGCGTCTGAAAAAAACGAGGCTCAGCTTCTAGAGAGTAATATACTACAATTTTTTTTATTAAAACGCGTTTGCTCTGTTATTATAGAGCGAAGAAGTTGGAACAAACACTCTCACGATGCTAGATCACCAAGGGGGTAAGCTCAAAAAGAAATAAAACAAATCCAATGAAATTAATTAATTAACTCTTTTGGAATTTGTTGTCGGATAAATGCATACTAAGAAAATTAATTCTATGTACTATCCAATTAATAATAGTTAAGTTTACTTTTTGGGTGAAATAACTTTCCAAAATAATACAGACTAATATTCGGTTTCATCACTATACGTTACAATATCAAAGAGAATACAATATTCAATTCAAGTTATTCAAGAGCTAAATAAACATAATGAAGCATTACTTTGAAAGAAAAATGTTAATCTTCATAATGGATGGAGCCTGTGCTCTGTAGTGCGTGAAAAATCATTCATTTATCATAAAAGCTTTTACATTTATGTAGAAATCTGAATATAAATATTAGCAATTTTTTTGTAATTTTTAACGATTCTTTGAGATAATTTTCGTTTCTTCAAATTTGCTAGCTAGCACACAAGCCCATCTTTTTTAAATTTCATGCAATTATTCTCATTTTCAATCTATTCACTTGCTTCTGATTTTCAACAAGTATAATCTTTAAAAGTAGTTCTTCGTGTTTGTGTTCTGAAGTATTATTTTTTCTTTTATTTTGTGCAATGTAAATACACTGTTTCATATTAGTGATAACGTCCAAAACGTGTGTGTTAAGTTTTTCATTCTATTCTTCATTTTTTCATGAATAAAGTTCAGAAATTTTTTTAGTCTAACTTACAAGTTTTAATTGCTCAATGAGTTTTTGATTTTTGCTCAGAATAATATAGTTGTTTCTCGATTCTCGTCAGACATCATAATTCAAAACGAACGAATTCTGCTACTCCCTGTTGTATTTTATTCATTCAAGTTTCATATTAAAACTGCGTTCATCAGTATATATAGTGAATTATATCAATTTTATCAACTGAGCAATTTTACCATTTACTGGTTTGATATGGTGATATACAATATTACATACAGCCTTGATAAATTAAGCTGCTAGAAAATGTAAATACTTGATTTGAAAATTTGAACTATCAATACGAAATACTTATATTTAGTGGCTATGTATAATTAAGTTATATTTATGTATTATAATATAAAATTAAAGTTTATTTTTGCGTTTTTTTAGTTAGATCTTGATTAAAAACAACGGCAAGTAAGCAATGGAACCAATGGGAATAAGTTGAACGAGTGATGAGATGTACTCAAAACTCTAAAATTTTTTGTGCACGCATTCTTTGTTCTATATTGTTATAAAAGAATTCTTACCCGCAGCATTGCAGCTGAACTCCTTTTAGTATAATGACATATGCTACTTTTTAATTATTATAAAAATGTTGCTTACGTCTTCTGAAAGGTGGTGATGGATATTTCTTTTGTATTTGAGACTTTTTTGATCGTAATTTTCTTCATGAACTTGACATTTTTTTACAGTAAATGAGAATGCTTGTCACAAAAAATATTCTGATGTATTGAGATATTACGTTTCACTACTTTTTTGGATATTGTTTTCATTTGTTATTAATGATATAAACGTTGTACTTCTCGAAAAGACGATGATGATGTTTAACGTATTCATTCTGATTGATGGGTTGTGACTTGTGCCTGTTTAGAGCCACGAGGTCGGGATGAAAACCCTCGTAATGCTGGACGAGCAAGGCGGTAAGCCATCCTATCTAGACTCTCTGTATAAACTAATTACTTTACGAAATATATATACCACACTATATAGATGAACACGAGAGCATTTATTACTTCAAAAAGGGATACTCTGAATATTATATCTATATATTATTGTAAATTTACAACACTTGACAAACATTCAATTAAAAGGATAAAGAAAAGTATTTGAGAAAAAACGTATAGTCAAATGAAACTGATACTCATACATGAAACCAAAAAAATTAAATGCCAAATTAAAAAAAAGTAAAAAAATGAAAAAATTTCTGTGCTAACATAACACACTAACAAGCATTATATTAACTAGAAAAATCAGCCAAATCTAATTTGCTGATGAAGTGATAACCACTGAACAAATACATGACATTATTGTAATGAGAAGAATGACTACGATTCAATCATACTATATTTTCAATGAATTCTACTAATTATGATTAGTTAAAAATGATCAATAACAAATAAATGAGAAGACACCATGGCATAATATATATAATAATATTAAAAAAAAAAAAAAAATACCTCATGCTCACTGACACCTTAACGACCAACGCTCAAACTTGAAAATATATCTCTATATATATTTAATATTAACTGTAGTTCACTTCTCCTCACTTACCACTTACCGCCACTACCGTCACCGCTACCTTCTTAGATAAATTAAAATTCATGGGTCACTATTTTATGTATTATTTACTTTCAGTACACTAATAGATTTCACCACACCTCAGCCTTCAAAATATTTATTTCTCTAACCTCTATAATGACTTATCTTTTATTTAATTTTGCCGAGTATGTATGCGCGCAAAGGTTGAAAAACATAAAAATGCCACGTATCGCTTTGAAGACTCGGATGTAAATGGAAGTAATGCTCGTGAAAAACTGTAATCAGCATTCATTCGGCATTATTAAAAAAGTCCGGAGGAATCGAGGACGCGTATATATATATCGCGCGCCTATTCCACGTGCAGGTGTCTGGTGCACGGCAAACGAACTCGTCCTACGGTCAATCGGATGGTTGAAAGCTCTCGCATCTAATTGAAGATCCTCGAAGCGTTTCGGCACATTTATACCTGCTATATGAGCCGTACATATTCTCGCGCGTGTACATACATGTCGTATCCTGTATGCATTACATACGCGCGTAGAGCAGCCCACGATGGGTATACGTGAGCGGCGTACGGAAGGAATATCGTATAGCCCATCCTCAGGGCTCTGCGTCGCTTGCATACATGCGAGCACGCGTATGTATAGGTGCTTGCAATCATTGCTCGGCCCGAGAACAGATGCTTACGCGCGGAAATGCTTGTTATGTCCTTTGTTGTTCGATGTCGAGTTCTCTCTTGTCGTTGTTATGCAGAAGCCCAGCTGTGATCTGTAATGCGTATTATATGTACGAAATAACGAGGCTGCTCTCGCGTGATGCGTATCGTTGGACGCCTGTCGATATTTGCACTTTAATGTTTCTTTAATTAAAATCTGTTTCATTGCTTAAAAAAACATCTCACGCGTGGCATTTTTGAACAACCTTTGTGTGCATAAAAATAGTGCGCAAAATCCTTCGGTTTTTTCAAACATTTTAATCATTTTTACGACGAGCCTGTACATTTATTTCAATTTGCTTTGTAAAGTCAATTTTAGTTTTATTTGCAAGCACAATAATTCCTTTGCTTATTTGTTATTATGAGGATTCTGCGCACTTAATAATACATACTATATAATAAATGATATGGAAAAACAGATAAGATATATATTTTATTTGTTAAATAAATAGTCGAGCAATCAGTTTGACTGTAACAATATGTTAATGGAAAAATGTTATAACATAATCTAATGCTGATATAAACAGAGCAACTTGACCGCATTGAGGAGGGCATGGACCAGATCAACGCCGATATGCGCGAGGCGGAGAAGAACTTGACGGGGATGGAAAAATGCTGCGGACTTTGCGTTCTTCCCTGCAACAAGTATGTTTACCATTTCATATTTTCTCTTTGATATCACTTTATATGATATTATAATTATAATATTTTATAATATATACATTTTGTGCATGCGTTACGTTTTGATATAATGATTCTGCAGCTTACTGACGGATCAAACGCGGACACACTCGGTACACTGTTTTGTGGAAAAAAAAACTATTAAAAAAATTACAGGTTATTTATTCCATATTCGTAAACGGCTCGATAATATAAGTAAAGCTCGCGCATACATTCCAGCACACGGTGAACATTTAATTTGGCAATGCTCCAGAGCTCCATTGAGCTTTCGGAGTTATGAGTATTACTGGAGTCCTCGGTTTTTTTTTAGTTTTTGGAAATGAATGGCTTCCTAGCCGTGTGCAGTACGTCCTACCGTGTTATATTCAATGAAAATATTTCGACAATTTTCTTATTCGTGCAGTCTTGAAAATACGTTTCAGATATTCAATTTTAAATTATATTGAAACTTTTAACTTTCGAGCAAAATTCTCATCGAATAATTTTTTCGAATTTTTAAAGTTACACATAATACACTGCCAACTTTTCGTAAACAGATCTTTCGATTACAAAATTTATAAAAATCTTACAAAGCTCTTTATGCATGGTCAATATTTTCATAAAAATTATTTTGCATTAGTTTTTCCGTCACATAGATGAAATCACTTTTATTAACATTCTTCACAATCACACACACATTTATTGTTTTTTTAAAATTTTTATAATATATGAAATACTATACAAATATGAGTCAAAGCTATAAGTTACAGGCATACACGAGTTTACTCATCAAAACTGTAATCGTGGGAATCGGCAAATACGCCTATTAAAAATCATACTAATTTGTAAAACGATGTATCTGTGAATACAAAAACTAGAGCGAAATAAGATAGGTCCGGCGCGCGATCGCGAACAAACAAACAAAAAAATCTATAAGAAACAAATTAGCTTAGATAAAGCAGAACATACTGACCCGGTATTTGCGGCGCTGCGCTCGCTGTGGTGCATTTTTCAAGGGGTGCGAGCTTCAAGGAGGACGAGGGCACGTGGAAGGGCAACGACGACGGCAAAGTCGTGAACAATCAGCCGCAGCGCGTGATGGACGAGCGCAACGGCATCGGCCCCATGGGCGGCTACATCGGCAAGATAAATAACGACGCGCGCGAAAACGAGATGGAAGATAATATGGGCCAGGTCAACACGATGATCGGCAATCTCAGGAACATGGCCATCGACATGGGCAGCGAGCTCGAGAATCAGAATCGCCAGATCGACAGGATCAATCGCAAGGTCAGGCAGTCTCTCATGCTCGATGTTCTTTGCTCATGTTGTATGTGTCCCGATTATAATGAAACTAACCAACGGCGGCCCGATAGTTACCAAGGCCGTCGCTTCAAACTCATGTATCAGAAACAATCCAACTTGACAATAATATTGTTAATCCCTGAAATGCCTATGAGATCCCTAACACCTCACCACTCTTGTAATAATTGGTATATAATTTGGTCACGCTGGTATTTGGAACTAATACTCATAGCCTCTCTATGTGTAACATCCCACTTTTTTCTGTGCTATTTATTGTTACACGCAACGGATTGTTTTATTACAGTAGATAAAAAAGAATATTACAAAAGAGAAGAAAAAAAACTCCTTGCTTTGCAACGCGCCGGCTTTTCTTCTTCCAAGGAGGATATAATATGTGTCCGAGCGCGCTTGCAAAGCACTGAGCTTTTTTCCTCGTGTTTATGAGTTCGTTATGCTGTTCTTGCATACATTAACATAATAATATGTGATGTGTATATATAACAAAATATATTAACCCAAGTACTTGTAGAACTCCCTATTAATCCATGAGTTGAAACTACCTTGTGTTAAATATAATGTGTGTTGGTATTAGCGATATAAATAATTATCATGTTATAATGGTAAAAGAGGTTTGTTGTTTAATGTTATATTACGTAGCTTAGTCGATTAGTATTAGTGATGAATAGTTTTGTTGACGGTAGCACATGATACCTAATTGATTGAATTCATTCAAAAACACACGAAATGCGTGTAATATAATGACTTTGATGAATTTTCCCATCGTAAAATTATCAATTTTTTGTGATAAATAAAAATGATTGAATAGCTTGCATGACAATGCACTAAAAAGATTCGTCATATAAGTCATGAAAACTGGATTTCATGTAACATGAAGTAAAATCAGCTGCTGGGGAAATTTTTGTCATGACACAAAAAAGAGCATTCGACTATTTATAACTTCTATGTTATTTTCTTTATCAAAGAAGAAGAGTCTCAGAAATTGTTGGCATAATTCTTTACTTTCTTTAAAATAATACTTTTTGAGACCTATATGTCAATGTAATGACATGAATGACCAAAAATTCTTGCTATAGCTGACTTTAATATTACGTGAATTTTCAATTTCCGTGGCATATGAAACACATTTTTCATGACGCAGTAAACGAATTTTTTTGATTGCAATTAAAATATAATTTAATTTTTTTGGTTAAAAAAGTATCAAATCAATGAAGATGATTAAATAGAGAAAAATAATCGTGTGCTTTCCGTTACATAGAAAACTAGTTTTGAAAAAACAAAAGTCATATTGATTTATTTTTTAAAGAATATTTTGACATTTGTAATTAATATGAATTTGATCAGTATGGCTTCTACATTTCAATACAAAAATGGCTTAAACGCATGAAATAAAATAGGAATAGTTTAGAACACAATTTCAACGAGTTACTTTGTAGTGAGAAAACGCTGTTTTATAAATGTTTTGGATTGGTACAGTAAAACTGTTAATTTTTCTTTTACTATGATAAATCTATCGACAAAAGAAGTTTTACAAAAGAATATACTTCAAGGCAAGTTCTATGATAAACCGCAGGAGCTGACGTCAAGTAGAGCTAAACTATAACCATAAATGCGTATTATATTTACAAAGCTACTCGTCAATAGTTAAAAACTTATGTTTCGATGGTTTCAAGTTAGCTTTGAATACTTTCTTTATGTTTGTATACTTTTACGATCTATCCATGAAAATGATTTCTAACTTGTCTTGTCGTGGCCACAATCCAAAACTATCAAAAATAAATGTAATCTGCAAAAAAATCCTTTGCATTCGCCAAAACATATTTATACAACCAGCGTGGTAACTTTCTATTTACAATGAATCATTGAAAATCAATTATAAAACGACTGACGATCGAATCTACGTTTTTATTTTCTTTTTTTTTTTTACTATTTTACAGGGCGAGTCGAACGAGACGAGGATACAGGTGGCGAACGAACGTGCTCACCAGCTACTCAAATAAACATACACTTTTATCGATCTCTCCCTTACACAGAGCAGTGCAGTTTATATATTATACGTATACATATATACGCATACACGTGTGTGTGTGTAAGCATATATAGGTATACGTCGATGTATACAAAAATTCATGGGATTTCGTCGAAACAAAGCAAAATTCACGAATGGAAAATGAATTCTACGAGTGGAATCCACGGAATGACAAGGCAAACCAGTAGCTGCTAAGCAGACGAGAGTGTGCAAAGATTTTCCTTCAATGTATAAAAAGTTACACGCATATACACGGGCCTCCGCTACTTACATCATCCTAGAATAACAAAAAAAATAAAAACAAAGCTCTGTACTACGACTTATTATAATAATGTATAAAAACCTACTATTATCCGTCGATTATTATTAATTGTTCCTTATACATATGCATATATTATATTTTTTGTCTTTAATGCTGTTAAATTGTCGTGTATGAACATTTATTGTAATCTCCTCCCACTTGCGTTTGCGTTGGTACGTACATGTACCGATGGCTTCTACTCAATTATGTACAGGCTATTTAGATTTTCGTTCGAGACTTGTATTTATTCCAGTCGCGAGAGAGAATCGATATCGGAAGACAAGAAAAAGGACATCGGCGCGTAGAATTTCCATCGGACGCTTTCTCTCTCCTTTTTTTCTTTGACACCATCCGCCCTGTCTCGTCCAGGTATCCACCACATACGTCTCTGTCTCTATTTATCTGCAAACTTACAATAGAACTGACATTTCGCTGCAAAGGTATATAAATATTCTCTCTCTCTCTCTCTGTCTTGCTCTACCTCGTACAAGCATCCCACGAGAAATGACGAGTATATAATCTACGTGCACATCATACAGTTGAGCTTAAGGGTCTTACGTATAGTAGGTATAAATAGCACACGCTATACAACACATACATGTAATGATACGGACACACGCGAATACACCGACTCACATAAACACGTATACACACACGCACTGAACCGCGTAGAGAGTTAGACGATACGCCTTTTTGAATTTCTTACACATAAAAATGTGAAATGGGTTTTCCTTCTGCGAGCAAATGCAAACACGGATATTTTATATCTCTTGATGTCACAAAAAACACACCAACAAGTACACAAACATGTACGCGAACACGATACACCACGCACGCGTTGATATAATATTATAGTATAAATGAATCTGAGTCGTCGTTTTTTAAATTCCGATTTTTACGAGTATTAAATATTTATAAAAATAATACGTGACAATTTTGCACCATTAACAAAAAGAAACCCATTACTAATTGAGTGAAAATAAATAATACACGCGCTGGACATGTATGTACATGCATACACAATACATGATGTATACGTCAGGTAATGAGAAAAGCAAATAACCAAACATCCTTTGCATGATACATATATAAAAAAATTATATAAATTAGATTTTTGTCTTTATATATGAAGCCACATATACAACAACAAAAATATAAAAAAGCGTATGTGTATATCTCTTTGTCTGAAATATATAGCACAAATATCGGTGTTATATTAACTCAAATAATTGAGAAAAAATTAAATAAAAAGCGATTTATATACATGAATAAAGTAATATACATTGCAGATAGCAAAGCGTAAAATAATTATAAATGATATGTAAATTTAAAAATTATGATAATGTGTATATTTATATGGCAATGTGTCGGCTCAGTTTTACGTGCCTTTGATCGTTCTCGTTTTAATATCATTCGTAAGACCCTTAAAACAAATCGACAGACAAACATTCACATTGACTCGACGATTTAGCGGACTGGCATAGTTTTGTTTTTCGGACGAAAAAATGCGTGCGCCGGTTTACAGTTATATTCCATTTACGTGATTTTTTCTCTACTATCCTAGTTACGATAAAAAATTTTGTCTTTTAGAGCAAGAATTTTTCTATTATCATGTGTATATAAAGACGTGCTTACAGACGTCTGTTAATAGTCGAAATGAAAATTTATAGATTGTTTTGCCGAAAGAACGACGAATTTCACAATAATAATTCATAATACAGACGAAATATATCATTGTCTTGATTCTAGCATATCAAGAATTCGTCGTTTATTATGCTGGCAAAATTTTGTGAAATTAAAAAAAAATAAGGAGGAAATAAAAAAAATCACCAAGATTAACGACGTTTTTCTCTTGTCGGGCAAAAAGATTTCCCCTTTTGATTAAACGAAGTATGCAAAAAATTGGAAGATTAATAGATTAAAAAAATTGACAAAAATTTAAATCTATTTAAAAAAAGCAAATTTTTGAACGATCCTCCGCGATCGACAATTAGTCTTTTACATTATTATTCTTATAATTATTGTCAAAAATTCACGGTTTCTCATCATTGATATAAATACAATAAATATAATGCGAACAAAAAAGTATATACGTGATGAAATAATTAATTAATAAAAAAAAGTAATTATATTACAATTAAAAATACAAAGCAAAACACAACGATCTTAATAATAATTATATACAAGTGCATTGATATTTCAGGCATACTGTTTTGTCGGTGGGACGATGCTCGACGCGTGTCTGCCTACAAGTATTAATATCTGCGTCACATTATCAGTTCTAAATGAAAACAGCTAGTCTACACTCGCGCGATGTAAATATTTTCGTCGAGTATTTTCACGTTGTTTATAGTAGTTACGATTAATGATAGTATATTTGAATAAATACGTCTCAATTGCATTGTCCGTCGTTTTCATATTGTAAAAGCGCGTAATATAATAACATAGAATTTGTCACACACCATTAAAGACTTACGTAAAAGCAAAAAATAAATAAAAATGGCCTCGTGATCCGTGAGAAAAATAAAATCTCGAGCATCTTCCCTACCGTCGAGTAATATAATAATGAGTAATTATACCGCATTGCTTTTCGCAGGATAGTAGAGGGAGGTATTATTATTATTGTTACTGTAATATATATATAATACGCTATTCTATACATGTAATAAATCTTATCAAGGGTTAATTTATATCGCCGTGAGATATAAAAACTGGCAGAGAGAAGGGCGCAAGGGAGATCGAGGGACTATTCTTATAATAATGAAATAATAACTTTAAGCTCGCGAAAGGAGCTTTAGAAGCAATGAGTTATTAATGGGGAAAGATTTGATGTATACATTTATACAGGTGAGACGCTGCGAAATTCCATTTCCCAATTCAACGGAAGAGTCGGAAACCTCTCATGACATTTGAGTTGTCAAAATTTTGTTCGCGTTCCGTTATAATTTTGTACGAGTATATAAGCAACGACGAGATGTAATTAAAGAAAAACAAGAAAACTAAAATTAAGTGAGGCTCGAGCGAAAACAGCGGAGTCTTGTTCGAAGAGCTCGTAAATACGTAATATCGAAAAGATGAAAAAAAAAAAATTGAGAAAAATCCAGATGACAATGATAATTGACCAGTCATTGAATGTGACGTACGACTAAAAACGTCCTTCTAGGAATAAAAAAAGCAAGGACAAACGCAATATACAGTCGAAAAGTACACGTTTAATATAATAAAAGATACACGTAAGGAGATTGCTATTAAAAGTTGTTTTAAGAAAATACTTATCGATAGTGCCAGCTAATGAAACAAAAATAAACGACGGATTGATATTAGAAAAAAAAAAGCGAGAGGGCACAATAATTAATACGAGTAGAAATTGTAGGAAGAGGAGGAGGAGGAGACGACGATACGGCGAAACAAAGATACAAAAAAAACTTGTACATTATTGTATTTACACAGAGGCTTGTACATGTAAACTGTAGAGAGAAAAAAAATTAAAATAACAAATTAACCTTAGAATATCGACTTAGCGATATGATATACAATTGATTATGAATATAATGATGCAAAATGAGAGAAAAAGCGAGAAAGAACGAGCGTGTGTGTGAGAAAAATAAATCGACAAAATTATTGATTGCTATGATTCGAATGTGTCTCGTATGTGAAATGTGTAAGTAAGTATGCGTTTCAATGTTGAAGATGCCCAATGACACGTAGTGAATATATATTAAAAAAAAGCGTCTTTTCGGTAATGAGTGCGGTGATTTCGTAGCTCAGCGTGCGATTATTATTAATATAATTACTGTTACAATTATTATTATTATCATTAAAAAAGAAAAAATCTGAAGTACTTTTCTCCCAAGGTTTTTCTTATCGCAGTGACGGATATTACTACCAGAAAATTGTTAAGAGCGCGTATTGCAGTTGTAACTTGCTGAGATTCGTACATTTTTATTCTTCCTTACGTAATAAACGAAGATACGTGTAGAATGATTTTTCATTGATACTACGCACCGCGACGTGCATTTGAAGGGACTATGCGCATCGCATGTGTCGATGCGTGCGTATGCTTACCGACCTCGACGATATTGTATATTCTGTTGTATAGTTCAGAGCTGCGAGAGCAATGACAATTATTTTGCTTTCCTCGTTTGTTTCCTTGGTAAATGCGAACCGTCCTGATGCATATTATTTTTTTTTAATTTACTTTAAACTTAATTTATTTATCATACGTTAATAAGAAAAAACTTATGACAACAAAGTACAACTTGGACAATTTTCTTATTAGCTCTACAAATATATAAACACCGACGTATTATGATTACCGAGCAACTGTTGTACTTGAATTTGCACTTACGCGCAATCCATATGTATTTTTTCCTGGCCCCGATGACACATCGAAGCGAATACAAAAAAAGAGCGAATTATGTTAACGATGTTAATCGATGCTTATTTATTGTATATCAGCTGATTATTTTATTTTATTGTCAAATCTATTTTTACTTCAAAAATCAATAAAAATATAGTTGATCGTTGAAAAAAACAAAATGAAGTCTTGTTATTATTAATGTGCCCAAGTTTTAGTATTATTAAAATCAACAATATAAGCTCAAATATATAAGCCATTATCATTTCACCTGTATTGTGCACATCAATGAACACACATTCAGTTTTGACCAGTACTCTTGTTATTTCTATTTTTCATTTTTTTATCATAACTATTATTTTTTAAATTGTTATTCTTCGAACAACTTCTGTTGTTGTTGTTGTTGTTATTATTTGAAATTTAAAAAATTTTCAGCTTCAATAAACAAGAAGAAGTGCGAGCTTGCAACCGGTTATTGAGAGCGAGAGAAGGTAGGCACGCTCGGCAAGCAATACATCTGTAAAGAGATATACTGCACACATATAATAGCCCAACGGCTCACAGCAAGAGGTCGATCGCGAAAAGAGAAAAAAAGAAGCTCGTAAAAATTTCACATCCAACCGACCCTGCAAATTTTACGAGTACATACATATATCGCCTTTACCGTGCGCTCTGGCTCGCTACCACTCTATATATCTCTCTTTCTCGCTCGCGTTAGCCTCCTTTTTTGCCGCTGCTACCTACTGCTACCCCCGCGGAGCTTTTCGTTTGCGCTCTTGACCCACCTCGCTACATAGATATACACAGCGAAGCAGAGAGACAGAGAGATCTGTTCCTGTTCTGCCGCGACCAGAGGGGAGAGGGCTGCACAGCTCCAATTGGAAACTGTAAGCACACGCGCGTGTGTGCGATCTCGCAGCGCGCACGGATTATCCTGCAATAATATAAAATTCACGGTCGCAATCGTCACCCACTCCACCCGCTCGTGCATGCGTACCTACACTGTGTGTAGAGTTTATATTTATAGACGCATGCTCCAAACGTGCGTAGTCGGGTATACATGTGCAATGAATATATTTAACCCGACAATACATTGGTTATTGTGATAATGATTGCCTGGCCTATATTAAACTTACGCCCGAGTACCCGATGTCGGCAAATTTCAACAAAATAATGCTCTGCACTATTTAAACATAAACGATTCATTACAGATATTTATCCATATTATTTCAGAGCATTACTTATTTATCGATAAATTACTCGAGCCACGTAAATATCTCGATCGATTGATGTAGTGACAATTTCCGTCGAACTCCTGCACGACGTGCACTCAGAAATGCATACTTTTTTACGCAACTCGAGGAAGTAAATGAACATATAAATAAGAAACGATAAAGTGCAATTTTAGAAAGGTAACGAGGTCGGGTTTCGTAAATAATGTAATACGTATATCAATGACCGAGAAGCGCTGATGGGCTTGATGATTCGTGCATACATGCATGCACGCATAAATATAGATACTTATACCTATTACATATGAGATATACATTTATTACATGCGAATGGTTGATTGGTTGAATAATGTCGAGTATACGTATTTAAATAGTTTATTGAATACATAATACAGATATATTCTTAACAGCTCATTATTCGGGCAATAACAATACAATACAGGTATTCTGAAAAAAGTATATGCTATTAGTACTGGGGCCAAGAAGATTTTTTTGAACACTTTTCGATAATCTCAGATTTTTCGTAACTGTTAAAATTAATAAACCCTTTTAGCACTTTAGGAGGTAGTAGTTGAAATTCTAAGGAAGCTCTATTAATTTTTAGGAGATGAAAATCTGGATTATACTTGATTAGATTTTGTGTATTATATTGCATCAGATCGAGTCTGTAAAGTACTAAGACCGCTTAGGGAAATTTTTTGTGAAAGTTTTGACAATTTTCCGCAAAACAGCGACGTAGTACTTTTTCCATTAGTCACTCTATGCTGAAGTACAGTAATTATTGGCAATAAACGTCAATTTCGGAAAACTGACAATTTTGGGCCTCTGGAAAAGGGTGATTCAAAATTCTACTGAAATCCTGGAACATTGCTAAAATATTAAATAATATCGTTATTATATCAGATACAAGAAATTTGTTTGCAAGTAAGTTCGTTACACAAAAATGTTTTATTGATGACTCAAAAGACTAATTGTTTTTACTAATCTTTCACCAATTTGGAGCCCTCCAATGGAGTTTCTACTACTACTCAAATACAATAATCGAAATACCTCTCAAAATATTTAAAATGTCAGTCTAAGTACTTTACTATTAATTTCAATCTTTATATTGCTGCTGCAAATGCTTACATACTTACTCTATACCTTGATTTTTTATACCCAAAAGTATCTGTTCTTATGATGTTTAGGTATTTATTTTTTAATCGTGGTAAACTATATCAAACATAAATATTATTCATTAAAGAACACCTTAATACACTGAGCATAAATTTTTCAATATCTCACGGTTTTTTCAAATTTCTAGGGTCATTTTAATTCTATGTATAATTGTATTATACATGTAGCACAAGCGCCGCACAGTGGTACCAAACTGAAAAAAAATGATCTAAATTAAAGTGTCAAGGGATTTTAGCACGGAAAAAAAATCCAAAAATAGTGTCAGATTCGGGAGATCATGAGGAATCCAATGCCGTTTCCCTTTTTTAATTAGCTATTTGTTTAAACATTATACAGCTAATTGAAGTCTCTCATTATCAATTTGTTATAACATAAAATTTCCTAATTATTCATTTATTGAATTATCATTGCAATTTTTGTGAGCCGAAAGCTATCTCAGCTCATTGGTTATTTTTACAATCACTAAAATAGTATGAAAATTCAAAATTAATATTTGTTAATAATAATAATTGTTTCGTTAATAAACAAATGAAAAGTTAACGTGCAATATGTTGTTCTCATCACAATTAAGCATTTTAATTGGATTGATGGGAAATAATCATATCATTCTAATTTTTAACGACAATTGTTATAACAAACGATTGTTATAAACAAATTTTAAACAATTGTGAAATTTTGATTTCTTATACTTTTTTACACATATCGAATTTGATTATAGCTTAAATTTTTTTCCAACGAATCATAAACATTCAACAATAATATTTGTTGATAATTTTTTTATTTTGTTGATAAACAAATGGAAAATTAACGTGCAATATGTGGTTTTCGTTACGATTATGCATTGTCACTGTATTTACAGGCAATAAGCATATCAATTTAACATTCGACGATAATTGCTTAAGCAATTGTTATAAACAAATTATTAATAATGGTTAAATATCGATTCTGCATGCATTATTGTGCTAGTGAACACTCATTAGAATTGCATATTAATTAAATATCAAAGGATCACAATATTAGAGTGCATTTTTAATAATAATTTTTATTATTATCATTTATTATAAATTAACAAATTTAAATAAATAAAAAGTTTATTTTGGCCTTAATGAAAGAAATAATAATTTTATTGACTTGAAACAGGATTGCACTTGAAGGTTTGACCTGCAAAATGAGAATATTAATTAATTACTATTCAATTATTATAATGTCATCGAAGTTTCTATTGAGGTGAAAATTCG